TAGCCTTAGCTTGCGGAGTCTCAGCAGGTGCCGGAGCTGGCGCCGCATCGAGGATAGGAGCGTGGCCCGTCCTGAGACATATCACAGCAAACGAGCCTTCAATGAGTTCTTCAGAACCCCACCGGGATTGCACATATGCAGCTTGGCTGCAGTCTGCGAAGCAGCTCTTTCGCTTCCGGACGCTTGTCCGCGGCCAGCGGGACAACCTTCGCCTTGAGCTGCTCAAACTTCTCATGCGATTCTTCCATCCGGTCTTGCACGACGAGGCGGAAGAGGCGAGCATTAGGATCGTTTTTCAAGTTCGGATCTTGCTTCCATCCTCAGAGATGGAAGCGATTCGGTCCAGCTTGATCACACATCCCATATATATCTTCAGCCGAGCCACGTCCCTCAACCATCGCTTCCTGGATTGCTGCCTTCGCCTTGTCGCTGTTGTTATGATAGAAGGCCAAAACGCCTTCTGCGGTCAGAAAATCGCTGAGGTGGGTCTGCTTCCTCAGCAAAAGCGATGGATCTGAAGACATCATATTCTGTGATCAAGGAGTTGCTCCAGAAGCTTTGGCAGAAGCGTTCGATGGCAAATTTCAGAGAGACACAGCTGATGACTGCAATGGAAATATATTAGGCTTTCGTGAAATTTGATTCGAGGGTACATGAAGAATCTGAGCACCGGGCTCCAGGTGGAGCTCGGAAAACAGGATTTCCGCGGTCACCGTGGCAACACTGGGGTTGCTCCACCATTTTTTCAGCAGCTCCTTGCGGACGCTTCCGCCAGCCTCCCAAGCCTGGACCATTTCCATGCTTGCCCGCTGGTAGTTAAAGCAGCACCTTCTGCAGTTCTGGGTGAGCGTTGCCCACTCCTCGGGCGTTGCCTTAGATCAGAAGCAAATTATAATGAAAGTCTGGGGAAGGCGCTTGGCGTTTGTTTCCAATCAATTGATGATCAATATATAGTGCTCCAAGGCACAGACTCCCAGCTACGGACTTGGGTGCCCTTCGGCTGGCTCGAACCGGCAGACGTGACAGAAGCCTCGGAGGGTGCACCCGGCGGGGACAGCACGGCACTCGGCTGGGGCGGTGGTTTCGGAGGTGTCGTCGGCCCCTCAGCAGGGCTTCCCTCAGAGCCCTGGAAGCTCGCACCACGCTCAAGAAAGGCACCGGACCGCTTTAAAGCGGAGGGTCTCGGCGACGACGGCTTGTCGGCGCTGCTCAAAGCTGGCTGCTCCTCCTGCCCCAACTCAAGCTTCAGCTGCTGTACCTTGGCCTTTTGTTCCTGCAGCAACCGCAGCGTCTCCTCCCTTGCCTTCTGCCGCTCCTCCAGTACCCGCACCGAAACCTCCTTTTTTTTGCGAAGCAGGCTCAACTCGGCGTCCGCGTGCACCCTCTGTTCCGCAAGGTGGGCCTTGAAGGAAGCCTCTTCCCGGGCAGCCCGTTCCGCCTGGGCTTTGGCACGTGCCTCCGCACGAGCCTTCAGCTCTGCCTCGAGAGCCTTCTGCTCTGCCGCCAGAGCCTGCTGT